TCTTTTTTCAATCACCAGAGGTCCAGCCCCATTATTAGAGTTAATCTTTCAAACTGTGTGGCCCCAATAAGGAAGAAAGATAAACCCAGTAAGATGTTGGAAAGCTTGTTTGCATGAGATATCCACATTCTGTCACGCTGGAAACCAGCTCCTCAGTTTTGTTCCTCCTCTATGGCAGGCCAACTATTTTTTTGTTTAACTTAAGGCTGATGAAGAGCAAGCATAAAATATTGAATATTATTGCTGTACTGGGTCCTTAATAGGAATATATCTTATATTTATCCATTTACTAAAAAATGGTGTACTGTTCCTAGACAGAAGTGCCATGAAACCCCACGCTATTGTTTTATTGTTTTAAATTCCTGAATATGGTTAATTTCCCCCCCCCCCATTGGAAATTAACTGACTCAGTTTAGTTTTTCAATTCATTTCCTTATCCTCACCAAGAATTATGCATCTCTCACTCCAATATTTTCATTTTTTAAATATGTCTAATATATATCAGATTCAGTATGTCTCAATTTTTATGTTATTTTTGTTTTAATTAAATATCTTTTCCAGAAATGGTATGATTTACATGTTCAAACTCAAATTATTTTAATCACTTGTGGGGAATGTTAACAGCTGTGAAGACTTTACCTTAGCTCCTAAGCCAAAGATCATGAAACAAAAAATGACAAAATAGTTTCTTTCATTTCCGAAGCAGAACGACGACATTGTAGAGGAAACACAGAAACCTGATGTCACCAGCAAGGAGTGCAGATGTTAGTTAGTAAGGTAACTGAAGAAGAAACAAAGCATCAAGATTTTATGGGGATAATCGGCTTAAAAACAAAACAAAAAAACCTCCAAGTTATCAGTCCATAGAAGATTTGCATCTAAAGGGGCAATTACTCTGCCTTGCAACGCTCTGCAAATTAAACCAGTCTATTTGCCATACACAGTATCCTGCTTTTTAGGAATAATAATGGAGGAAGTGAGGCTCTGAGCATACTCTCAATCTCCAAATATTCTACCATTGAGTGGGCTATCCATCTGCGCCACTTAAAAAAAATGTCAAGAGATTTGGCTTGATGTTACTGAGTTCTTCCTCACTATTGCTTATTTTCAGAGGTCAGATAAAGAAAGAAATGCCCACTGGCTTGAAGACTGAGTTCCTCCTTATCAAAAAAGCACCTCATGGGATTGGGAGATGATGGGGCGCATTCCCAGAAAGCAACAGTAAGGAGAACTCCCTATTTGCAACTTCACACAAGAATGCCTGGAAGATTTACATATTTAAAAAAACCCTGCCCTATCAGTCCCTTTCAGTGAGTCATACCATAAAGGTACTGTATACAGCCCTACAGCTGGACTGACTCATAGCTGGTTATCTGCTTTTGGGAAAACAGACTGTTTCGTTCATCAAAGATGCCAGCCATGAAGAGAAGTGGGGTTGAGGATGGATTTTTTTCAAGGAGGTTGGTGAAGTAGGGTATGTTTCTCTTGACAGAAATAGGATTGGCGCATGCAGTGTATGCACAAACCCTTGGATTCTGCCTTCTCCCCCTTTCGTGCAGGAGAACTGCACCACTGCTCTTGCTGTGGAGCCAACATCTCTGGCCTTCTGCAGCTTAAAAAGCCATGGAAATTTTCAGCTATCAAGCTAAGAGATCAAAAGGGTAAAACTGAAGTTCACTAATCTACTACACTTTTTTAACCCCCCCCCTTTAAAAAAAGTGTTAATGTAGTCTACATGTAGTTTCTCAATATTTTATTTTTTACAATACAAATTAATATGCATGCTTAACAAATCCTTCACTGAACATATTTTAACATTACACACCTGCACAGCCTTTACCTTGCTTCACAAAAAAAAATATTAGAAATATAACTGCAAAGGGTTTTTTATATTAAATCTAAACCCAAAATAATATTCTTCATACCATGCTACAGAGGACACATCTTAAAAACTCCAGTAGGCACGCTCTAGTCTCCTGCTCTCATTCAGAAGCCTTTTCACATCCACTCTCAAACACTTTTAAGCAGTAGCAACATTCATCTACGGTGGACATTTTACTGGGGTAATTAAAAAACACAACAACAAAACAAATACACACTTCTTCTCATCTGCCATGGCCAAAAACAAAATCTCAACACAACTGAGGCCTTGGCTACCCTGGCAGTGTACAGTGCTGCAACTTGCTGCGCTCAGGGGTGTGGAAAAACACCCCCCGAGTGCAGCGAGTACAGCGCTGTAAAGCGCCAGTGTAATCAGTGCTTGCAGTGCTGCACGCTCGCTCGCAGCGCTGCAAGCTATTCCTCTCGGAGAGGTGGAGTACATACAGCGCTGCGCTGACGGCGTGACTACACTTGCGCTTCACAGCGCTGCCACGGCAGCGCTGTGAAGTCCCGAGTGTAGCCAAGGCCTCAGAACAAATCTGACCGAACTTTTGCAGTAACTACCCAAAAAAAACCCTATGAAAACTAACAGTCACAAAGCCTAAACCTAACAGAAAATTGTATAAGAACAGTTGGTTCCATATCCATACCAACTGGAGGAAAAAGAAGAACCAAGAGAATATATTAGAGTACATACATTTTTATACTCTTGATTCCAGATTATACTGGAACCAAGGAACAAGCACATGTGTCCCCCTTAAAGGTTTTGCTGCAGTCAGTATTTTTGTGGTTCATGTAGCTATATCTGCAGAGACAATGTCAAGAAGATTAGAATTTGGTTTTATATAGGGGCTTTTATTGCAAAATCATTTGAAATACCTTGTAGTTAGAGTTTAAAATACTCATATTTTAATCAGTGAAAATCACTCTAAAAATTAAAAAAATATTTTTGGGGGTCACAATTTAGAAACAGTAAGGAAGGTAAGTTTTCCTTATGAAAGTCATAAGACACTAGCTTTACCAAATACATTAATCTTCTATGTTAAATGAATGTCAAATAGTACCTACTAAGATCTACACCCACAGGTGCAGGTTCTTGCTTTTAGTGAAGTACTTCACAGTTGCTAAACAAAAACTCAATCCCTATCAGTAGATCTTAAATATTTGTAATATAAAATATGCATCTGTTAAACAACTATGTCAAAAATGTTACCCTGATTTTAAAAAGGTGAACAGATTTCCACCAAGTTTTAATCACAGAGTTAGAAGTGCATACTTTGATATTAACTCTATTAATAAATCTCTGGACATGCAGCACTGTTGTGCAGTGCTATATCCAATGACAGTCCTTATCTCGTAAGTTTTTTTCTTGGGTGATCACTGAAAAGTTATCAGAGTAGCAGCTGTGTTAGTCTGTATCCACAAAAAGAAGAACAGGAGTACTTGTGGCACCTTAGAGACTAACAAATTTATTAGAGCATAAGCTTTCGTGGACTACAGCCCACTTCTTCGGATGCATATAGAATGGAACATATATTGAGGAGATATATATACACACATACAGAGAGCATAAACTGGTGGGAGTTGTCTTACCAAGTATTCTCACACTTCTTATCAAACTGTCTGTACTGGTCTAGCTTGATTATCACTTCAAAAGTTTTTTTTCTCTTAATTAATTGGCCTCTCAGAGGTAGTAAGAAAAATTCCAACTGTTTATTAT